AATTAATATCAACAATAACTTATATAAAAGAATAATCAAAGAATATTATTGAATATTCTTTCTCCTTGCTTCATTCCTTTCAGCCCGCGCGGATTGCTTTTCTACTTGCCTCATCATGCTGCCAGTTGCTGCGTCCAAAAAAGGCTCCTCCCCTTTAGTCCCACAGGCTGTTGCTCAAACCAAACCCGGCATTGCCAAGAAATCAGTATGTTTTAATCTTATTATTTTTTTTAGAGGGCTCTAGAGTCCATTAATAGTCGCTTAGCCCTTGTTATGAAAAGTGGAAAGTCTGCTATCGGTCTCCGTCAAACCCTCAGGCTTCTGCGCAAAGGTGCTGCCAAATTGATCATAATAGCCAATAATGCGCCGCCATTACGGTATGTTTCTAATTCAGGTCTTCGGAGTTCAAATGGGCAAAGATGGGGACCTTAACTCCCTTTTAGTTCGCCCTTTGCACGAGTATTTATTGAGAAAGGACCAACCCCCCCATTTTTTGCTTTTAGAAAAGCTGAAATCGACTATTATGCAATGCTTTCTAAAACTGGCGTTCATCTCTACAACGGCACCAACCAGGATCTCGGCACCGCATGTGGTAAGTACTTCCGCGTCAGCGTTCTTGCGATTGAAGACCCGGGTGATTCAGACATTATAAGGACTGTTCCAGCTGATACACAATAAATTAATGACTCTTTGGAATCTTTTCTTCTAGTCAATTTTGCTTTCGTGGAACTTTCCAACCACCTAAACTGTGTTAGAAGTCCAGAGGTATCCATTATCCGTATCCTTATTTTCTCACATTACCTCTTAACATATCGCTTCTTATATACCTTGCTTTGTTACGTCCATCTTTATTCGCTTTTTATGACTGATTGCTATGCTGCTTTGTATCTCTACTGGTTTTCATTCCTACTGTCCCGTCTTTAGCTTATCTTTCCGATATTCCTCCAATCTCATACTAACTTCTGAACACCTCAGATATGTTCACGCTATTTCCTAAGGGCAATAATCATGTATCCATCCACCTAGATGGGTGCGCTATAGTCTCGCTCACTTATTATTAGCCCTTTACGTTCGTGCCGCACTCCTAGCCAGAGGTAATATTCGTTTGACCAATTGATGACACTAAACAAAAATCATCTTGTCAGCCTAATCGTGCTCAAGAACTTGGTCTTCGTTTTGGCTGACAACTGCATCGGCAGTTGGGGCAGCTGCATCTCATATACTTGGTCGATTGTATGGCATCAGTGGTGGAGTTTGTTAATCGTGCCGCATGCTGTCTTTTCTTCGTGCTTGTCGCTTAAATTTAATGCAGCAGACTTCCCTAGTCCTTGGTGAACGGAACTAGCTTTAGGGAGTGATATAAGCGTTTGGGCACAGCTCAGCAGTTTTCTACTCTAGCTTGACTTGTCAGGCTCCAAGTGTGTAGTTTGGCTTGCTTAGCGCCTTTCTCCCATACATGTGGGCCTCTCACTATTCCTGCTTATTTATCTTCTATTCTTGCCCACACTCATATGGTTCCGCCTTCCTAAAAAGAGAAATTGAGAACAAAAACTGGATTTTTTGTCAAGTGAGTATATACAATTGATGGTTTCGAAAGTTTTTTCTCGCTATGATCTCTATAAAATCGTGCGAATCACATTTTTGTATCCTATTTCTGCTAGTACTTAGTCAATCTGGCAGGCATGTGGACTCAGGCACATCGTAGCTCCAAGTAATCACGCCGTAGACCTTCAGGATGGAAAATACCACGTATCCGACCCACAGAAAGGATATAAGTAGTCCAGAAATCCATTTAGTCACTCTGGAGCCGCCGAGTTCACCACCGAAAGCCTGAAATAAAAGTATTTATTGTAGATATTCTATAAGAATGTTTTTAAAATGGTGAGCTAGCTTGTCTAACTTTGCCTCATTTATCGATTGTCTTCTGTTACTGCGTGCGCATCTCAACTCGAGAGCAAGCACAGTATTTGTGTGGGCTATGCGCTCATCTTAAATGCCATTAGTTAGTGAATTTTGGGCGGTTTTATGCACATCAGATGTTCTTCGCTATGAGTAATTTTGGAAATAGTTCATGCTTGTGATTAGCAGTAATTACATTTAACTTTCCATGCCTTGGCATTGAGCATTTTTCTGAGCCCTACTTCTATGTCTACTCTTCACTGATGCAAATTGAACATATTTTTAGATCGCCTACTTTTAAAAGTTTACATCTTTATTCGATGCTAGCTGCCCAGCTCTGTACTGGGTCTGTCAGATCCAAGTCTATCTTTACTTACCATTCGACGACAGAAAAGAATTCCCAGACATAAAGAGGCGCATCCGAGATATACGATTACGGATTCTGTCAGATTCTCTGGATAAATGCAGTATTGTCTCCCCTTGAGTGCAGCATAACCCGAGCTAAGGATCCAGGGAAGTCCGAGGCCGAGAAACACGTTGACGCTATTGGAACCTGATCCGCAAGGCATTTCAAAGGGTTTTTGTGTGCGTGTGTATATATACATAGGATAAAGAAAGAAAGCGTGTATTTAGGGCCAGCTAACATAAAGAACCCTGCGATTAGCATCAGCTGGCTTAATGTTTATGTGAAGGCTCGGCCCATTAAACTCCTAACCTGTGAAATTCGTAACGGGCCTACACTGAATAATTTTGACGAACAATTTATAAAGAATTAAGTAAAGTTATAGCTATGAGAACATATATTTAACTATTCTAATAAGTTATTACTAGGGCGAAAAATAAACATTATAATATACCTAGCATATAAATTCCAGTGAGTATTGATTACGTCTAATCCATAGTGGGTCATCCATCGGTGTTGGCCGGTCGAAATGGCCGTCATTGACTAGGAGGTGGTTTGTTTTATTTTAAGAAAATGCAAAATTGGATCCTTCGAAACCGTGTTTATCCTAATCGGATTTACACATTACAAGCAAGAGAAGGCTTGGTGTCTGCGCTCGAGATACAATTTCGAGTTGTTGGTTGGATGGGATAATGAAACAAACAATGAGTGTTATCGCAAAGTTGTTCATACAACCTAGCCACCAACCGGGACGCTTGAATGAGCAAGCTTAGATATCCTCCTAATGTTACACACTGGTGGTCGCAGCCGTTATATTTGTTATGATTAAGGGGAAACTGGTTTCCAAACAATCCCTTGGCATATCAGCCTACTTAGCCATCTGCTGTACCGAACTAATAGAATGTGTTTGTTTGAACTCAAATCCTCGACATATTTGTGCAGGCTTAACTTTCACCTCAAGTCAAATGTATGAGGAAGAGATGTGTAAGTCGATCTCACATGAAGGCAACGGCAGCATCCTCTTACCCCCAATGCCTGATAAGTTGTTCGTTTTGATAACATTAAGGTTGATATAAAATGCCAATTAGGTTTTCATGAAAGCTAATTTTCCGATTAATTGTGTCTGAGTCGATAAGCGTTGTGGCTTAGGGCGCACACTCCTGATATACAATTCCAGAAATTCCGATAAAGCCTTCAAGAGTGAAGTCTAGTGATCATCCATTTATCTATTGAAATAAGTCCTATCATTATACTAAAATACGCTTAATGGGCAAACAAGTATGGATGTCTCACCGTTTACATTGCCTATGCTATTGTCTGCCGTCTCGTCCTGCAGTGCAGCTGTGCGGCTTGCGAATGTGTCCGGAAGAGAGGTACCGACTGCTACTAGAGTAATGCCAGTCACAGCTGTCTTCATATTTGCAGTACAGCCCAACAGGTTGGCCAACTACAGAGATACGAAGGTTGAATATAGTAAGAGTTGCAATGGGAGTTTTGTTTGTCAAAATGCCGAATGTTAGAAAGAGAAGTGCCAATCAACGTATGATGCTGGGTTTCTACTCTTTATTTGTTTAAAGTAACTCTTAACACCCTTTCCATGTTTATATCTGCGCCTGCTAGCCCACAGAGCTGGGCATTATAGAAGCTTGCGGAGGGTGTTGGATAAGCCCTCTTCGATTCATGACAACTGGATGGCTTTTGAATGTCCATCTTATCTTGAAGGATCTGACGTTTTTTAATATGCACAGAGCTTGAAGGTTGGCGATTAAGCTGGGATTCTAGGGATGACCATAGGAAAGCGATCAGCTAAAGCTGTAAAGATTTCGAAAACTGTCTTGGTTTCATAATTGTTAAGCTCACTTCCAGTTTGAGTGAATTACTGAAGAGGTTCGAAGGTCGATCCAAAGAAAAACTAGAATTGATTCCTAATAGCCAGCTTTCGAATTGCTTTATTGGAAAATTCTTGACTCAACCTGAATATGGTTGTAAGAATGATGTCCTGCTTTAATACTGTCTGTCTTATGGCGGACACCGGAATTCAAGGAGATTGTCTCAGAACCAGCATCAACAAAAATGTCCCACTATAGTCAAACGACAGCTGGCCATAAGGAATCCGCTGTCATCCTCTAATCACACCGACCTTCGCATCTTTTCACCAAACACTGAGCTCAATAACTTGAACGAACTAGAGTGAACACAACTCATTTTTGGTTTACTGGTAGTCTCGAAAACTGCTCTAAACGGAATACTGGAATTAACTTTAGTTCGGAAGAATCTACTTTTCTCAGCTCATCTTCGTTTAGTTATTGTATTTACTTGCACAGTAAAGAATGAATCCATTTTTACCTTGTTTATATTTTATTTTGCAACCAAGTGAACATGAATAGGTGTACGGACCGCTTTTATCTGCTAAAGTATAGTCTATGGCCTATTCCGATCGAAGCATAACTGCATAATCTATACCCTAATTATATCGGTATACCGCTATTTATACAGTGGGAGAGTAGGCTGGCTCCAACACTAAGATTCCTTTAGACTGCTTTTATCCAACTTTTCTGGACTTTAAGACAATCCTCTGTCGGTTCCCAGTAAAGTCGATTAGCGAATCATTCACACTAAAAATTTTCTTATAAATGAATATACCACTCGTACAAATCAACTTTGTCCCGATATAGAACTGCGGTAAGCTCTGGTACAAGAAATACCGATAGACTTAAACTCTTACTTAATGTAAACGCAAGTAACAACGTCGATTGTAATGGCCGATACAAGTTTGCTTCAGCAGCAATCCCATCGTAAAAATGTGTTTACTTCCCTTAACTTCAATTTCTCCCTGTTGGACCTTTCGGCACTTTTTTAGCGTTTCGTAGTGGTAACATGCTGAATCTGTGTACCGCATTACTCGAGTTCGACGTCCGTTTAGAGTAATGATGAAACTCAGGCGCGGTCGAAGCCTCAGTCCACCTAAGCTTAGAATATCTTTTTGGAAGTTAGGCTATATTAAAGTTAATGACATCATGAGGCCTACTAATATCCATGTGGTAAAAATTCACGATCACTCCTTTATCACCTTAGTCGACCTAGGGTTACTAACGTTCTCAGTTATGATCTAATGATATTCTCGAAATTAGCGTTAGTCGAAATAAATCTCGCAAATGACTTGGCTGCTTTACCTGATTCCACTCGTCCATAATAGTTTTTGCATTAATTCTCTTGCGCGAAAGCTAGTTTCAATCTCGAGCTTGAAATAGAGTAACGGTAAACGGCGGACTATTGCGCATGTTGTTATTTGATTTGAGGATGAAGAAGGGTTTGAGTTAATGAGACACAAACCCCAGTCCCTTAAGCCTCACCTGTTCTACTACTGCCGTCAGCACTCCAATGATGATTAGCGAGGTGAAAAATGTTGGATAAGCGCCCAAATATTTTCTGAAAGGTATTCGTGAAAAAAAACAATAATTTGACATAATTAGATTAACATTGTAGTAAATAATTCATGAAATTGGAGATATTAAATTGAAAACCTTTCTCGTGTGTTCGGCAAAGTTGCTTGTTTTGCATGTTATGCCTTCTGCAAATCCTTGAATAATGTCAAGTATCTCCCGAATCCATTTATGTTTTTCTCATTGGGTACCAGAGCGAGGCTATCTGATGATCCATCTTTGTGCGAATATTAGGATAGGAGATGCATTCTTGAAATCAGGACTTGATTTATGACAATGCTGCCAAGAAAAGGCTTTCTTTTGGTGGCGTAGGTGCTTTATAACCCTTATATCCTTAGCTCGAGTCCTTGCGATAACGTGAGGTGTAGAAGAGCCACTGAGGCTAACACTGGGTTTTTCTTCATGAAAATCCCCACGCATAGAGCCCCTTATGGAGTCAGGTGATAGACCGAGTATTTATGTCAAGCTATGACAAAAGTTTTAACCCCACGAAACTAGAGCCTATGGGTTTTTTAAACCATCTCTATTTCTAGTCGCACAGTTCATACAGCTATTTAACTGAGTCTCGCTCGATTGAGGCAATTTTTTAGAAAGGTTTCTGAAATTCACTAACCTTGGGGGGATAAATGCCATTAGCATCTTCCACAAGATTGTCAAAGCGTGAAGAAAGAAATCGTGATGGGCCAATTTCCCTGGTTTTCCGTTCGAGTCTGGTGATGGCTCCAAAAGTATGGCTCTGAAAGGATTGCGGATTTAATAGAATTCCGGTAAGTTTGAGACTGATACACGGTGAGGGTGCTATGCTGAAAAATTGCTTAAATAATAAAATGTCAAACTATTTTTAAAGTTTGATTTCGACAATTAAGCCAGAGGGCATATGGTGGTGATGATTCTGACTGTTAAGAAAGGCGTTATAAGAGGTGCATTCACCCTATTTCGTTTAAGATGATAAGGGCAACGGTAGTTGAATGTTCTCACAATCATATGAGTAACACTATGTTTCCATTGAATTTCACACAGCCTTGTTTCCACCTCGCCTAGGTCTCATCTACACCCCCAGAAGGCCTCGAAACATGTTAATGCAGCATATAATCTGGACACATTAACCACTACGCTATACTCACATTTTGTGGTGGGATTGTCGATTAAACAATGTTGTATTTACCATAGCAATCGACATTAGAGGATCGTAGGCTCGTTCATTTATGTTAGGAAGCAGCTGCCACCGAATCCACTTACGTTTCGTGAACTAACGTCACTCATCTGCAAACATGCTGAGTAGGTCTGAGATAGCCAACCAAATAATAGGATGTCTACTTAAGATCGCAAAGAATGCTGTGCCAAAATGTGACTAGGTTTGCAGCTGACCAATTTTTATCCTAGTTTAATATATTTTTTTCGATATTTCGCACATTTCACGAATTTTTTCCAATAATCTTTTCTTTCGAGATGAAATTTCATGTCACAATAAATCACCGAGGAATTATTTGAAACCTAGTTTTTCTTCTTATTTCTGAAAGCCTCGTGCGCTCGACCTCATTTTCACTTGTTTTCCAGATTTACTGAGGCTTTACTGGAAACATATTGATAATTGGTGAGCAGAAAAATGTATTAAAAGGAACAAACAATTTTTCACTTATACCTTCATTTCAATTCCCTTTGGACCCTCCATTTAGATCTGAATGTTATAAGCTTTTCTGCTCATTTGGCAATATTTACATAACGTAGACCTTATGACTTATACAGAGGGGGTTATCTGAACACAAAGCGGTCTATACAGCTAATTTGGTAGAAAGGTTAAAACTGGTTAACACATGGTGAATGCAGGACATCAAAAGAATGGCCCAAAATATAACCTTTTGTAAACTGAAGAGAGAATACCTAAGGCGAAAGTTTAGCCAAAATTGTGAATAGAAGGAACGAGTGTAGGAAAGTGAACAGCGGCTGGATAGGCATACGGCGAGATAGATAGTTGGAAAGCAGCAAGAACATTGAGCAAGATGAGGATGTATGCATACCCTCGAGTCTGGTTAAAGTCCTTATGCTTCATCTGAGCTAACCTATGCATACATGCAATACAGGTACAAGCATAGGCCTGAACTTGTATCGACATTGTAAGATCAAACGTCGGTTTATTTCTTCCATGAAATAACAG